GCCAATAATGACAATACGGTGAGAATCACACGGGTGAGCGCGCGGCCTGAAAGGGGGACCCGCACACACAAAAGACCTGAGGGGGATCCGTGCTGCTTTCAGGAGAGCCGAGTGTGTGTGTGTGTGTGTGTGTGTGTGTGTGTGTGTGTGTGTGTGTGTGTTTCACGCCCCGGGCGAACAGCGAAACAAAAGTCACTTGTTTTATCATCCAAAATATCACAACGGGAAGTTTGCAAAGAGAATCGGCGCTTCATTTCTCTGGCGCCACGTCTGTCATCCTGTGTGTGTGTGTGTGTGTGTGTGTGTGTGTGTGTGTGTCGCACTTCAGGGCCTATTCCACACGTTATATTCGCACATCTCTTCATGTATTTAAATTATAATAAAATCCAATAACTAAACGTGTGTGTAGAAACATCTTGAGGTAAACTGAACTGAACACACACACACACACACACACACACACACACACACACACACACACACACACACACTCTGTAGCGGCAGATCTGCTCGTGTTGATCTCGCAGGTTCTCTTGAGGAGCATTGAGAGTTGTGATGTTCCAGATAGCGACTCCAGTCTTCCACAGCATCTGTCAGTGAGAGACTGTACATCTGTTCTGGCAGATCATCCCAAAAATGAAAACTATATGACCATCACTCTCCCGTTATCTGTTTTAAACCTGAGTTTCCTCTGTTGAACACAAAGGAAGATATTTTGTAGAATGCTGATGACCCTCTGACTTCAATAGGAAAACAGATGATCAGACTCATACGGGTTTGCAGTAGTGAAGGCGAGTAAATGTTGATGTTCTGGTGAACTGAAGGTGATGTTCAACACCAGCTCCATACGAGGCTTCAGCTGGAATACTGCTGTGCATGTGAATCACAGTGAACTGAAGGGGATGGATATTACAAAAGAAACGCTGTAATCAACATCAGATGATTGCAGTTATTATTGTATTAGTGAACCCGCATCTGTGGACTCAGTTCTGCCCTGCACTGAAGCGCCCCCTCCCGGCCAATGCAGCTATAACCTCCTCTGTCCAACATGCAGCACCGACACCACTGATGATTAAACTGGAGAAAAAGATCGTCTTCATTCGTCTCCATGACTTAATAAACACACAGCCTGGGGTTCCAGTCATTTATTTTACTCATGAAATGGACGATGACCTGCACAGAAAACTGAGACCGTGCAAGAAACGTACAGTCGTACAGGTATGTAGACAAGAACTAAGACAAATGAATGAAAATAATAATCCACTTTGCCATTGTTAGGAATAAGACCACAATTATCTCATAATCCCATTATTAAACTTTATATAAGCCTATGCAATGCGGTTTATGAGTAAAGCTGTTTGCTTCCACTGCTTTAAATAAAAGTTGCTTTACTCAAAACTAAAATAAACCAATACACATCTGAAGAAAAGCACAAGACAAGAGAGAGAGCTGACTGATGATCATGCTCATGAACACATCACTTTACCCGAAGATTACACTCAACAAATCCCCTCTCTCTCTCCAACAGAGCGTCCTGCTCGCCTGACCACAGAATTAATGACACAAACAGCCTGCTGGAAACAAACAAACAAACAAACAAACACACAAATAAAGAAACCCGTAAAAAGACAGATCACATGAAGCCTAATGAGTGAGTATTCATTGAGATGTAGCCTCTGCTGTTTATCCTTATTTACAACAATAAAACTAAAATCCGGAAGAACGATGGAGAAACTGCCCGAAACCCTCAGCAACCCCCCGCTGAACATGACCTGTTATTGGCAGATGTAGAAGCGCTTCAGTCTTCAAATGCTGAACTACACAAGTGAAGGCTGAGAGAGAGCGAGCCCTCCTCATCAAACTGTGGAGGTGGAGGATGCTCTGGCCTGCAGCGGCGCCTCGAGAGCTGACCACCCCAATCTGATTGTGCTGTTGATATTATTCATTTTAATGCACTTACATAATTTACAATATTTCAGTAAATAAATAAACAGCAGCCAGTTAATTACTGTGGATTGATTGGTGCCACTGACAGCTGATTCACTGCCTCTGCCCGATCATCATTGACAGCACACACACCTTCAACAGACAGCAATGGCAATTTAATTGTACAATAATGAATTAATACTGGTGAGACAGTTATTCAACAGTAATGGGCAACTATTTAATGATCAATTATTCTATAACTGCTAAAGAATTTGCAATAGTATTTGATGCAATTCCTACAGTGGACTTGTTCAGCTCTTATCCGCTAATTTATCCTCTGAATCAAATCCTTTGCATGCTAATCAATTAAGTATCAATGGTGTGGAAATTATAGACAACACATTTAATAACTGCTACATTAAAAATTACGCAGAAGCACACTGTTGCCCAAATGCAGATGCTTATGGAATTGCTTATTTGAGCAGATTGAGTGGGAAAAAGTTTCACCAATATTATTAAAGAAGAGGCAAATAAAGCAACACATTTAATTATCCACTGAAACAAGTTGTTAATAATGTTTTAGAGACATGGAATCTGCGTGCACTTTTTGTGAATTAGAGGACTTGTTAAAACACCTGTTTTATGAATGCACTTATACACAGATGTTTTGGGTTGAGGTTGAATATCTTAAACTAATAAAATTAAAAATTCGGTTTAAAATTCTGTTTTCTTGTAAAGACATTTTTTTAGATGCAATAATAATAATAAATTAATAAAAATAGTTTATTAATTTAATGATAATATATGGGATATACACAAAGAAAAGTCAGAAGAGAAGTCTAATGTTTATTTGATTAAAATGGATCTTGAGCATTATATCCACACCCTAAATGAAGCAGGTGTGCAGTACTGGAGTCCTTGTCTAATGCGAGGTTTCTGTAATTCCTCTGTCATTTCATTTATTCTTTTTTGTTTTTTTAATCTCTACTGATTTGTCCTTTGATGTGGAAAAAGACTTTTAAGCACTGTTTTCCTCACTTTTGTATGCTATTGTTCTTGGTATGGAATAATAAAATAAAATAAAAAGACAGCAATGGCAATGTTATATTGAACTTACAGGTACATCAACAGAAGAAGCTGTATTATTAATATTGTGGCTCAGAAAGGAATCTGGATAAAGGATAATATTAGGGTCTGTATAGTGTGTGTGTGTGTGTGTGTGTGTGTGTGTGTGTGTGTAGTAATGTCTATTGTGTAGTTTGTTCATTGGTTTGTTTTATTATTTAAATCATTAATCTTCATTAATTTTAGACATGGCAGATGCTGTATGTTCAATAAAAGAGTGTGAAAATAACTGAATAGTTCTATATATATATATATGAGAAGTGTTTTATATTGGTTTTTGTGTGGTTTGCACATGGACTGAATTATTTTAAAGAATAAACTGCGACATTTCAAGAGTAATTAATTAAATGAAATAAAACCACATTATTTCATTTACCAGAAACAACAGTATAACATTACACTGAATTCGTTATCTGTTGCGTGGTCTCTTCTGGCCACCCTATGAACATTTTCTGGGCGCCACCGCTGAGAGACCGGCAGTGCAGCTTTCCACCGCCAGGAGGCGCCGCCACACCGCGGGCTTATTGAATGTGTTTATCTTCAGAACACAGCTTGGTTCATTTAACTTAAAGCATTGCGCTGTCTCACCCTCATGTTTTCAGCACATGCTGCAGTAAAGCGGCTCTGATATTTATAAAGCGCTATAATAAATAAAGTTGACTTAATCCACCTTAAATGTCCCCCATAAGCAGCAACAGCATCTGTCATGCGAGCGGTGTGTGTTGTGTCTAGCTGCCCATGTAAACCATGATAGTAATAACACACACACTGTTGCTGCTCCTCCTCCTCCTCATCATCATCATCATCATCATCATCCCGGCTCATTTGTCGGAATCCATCAGCGGGGGCAAACTGATCTGAGTTACCCGCTAATCAATCTAAACACGACCATCACTGAACTGTGCGTAATGACGTATGAATTCTCAGCCCACGTGATCAAGGCTGCACCTGATGAAGACACACCTTCAGCTCCACGAATATTAGCAGATCTATTACTGCACACTGCCAACTCATACACAACTAATACATAAAACACTTCACTCAGGGCAAGAGGAGGCTCTAACATTACATTTATTTATTCATATAACATTATATATATATATATATTTATTTATATTACAATATTTACTGGAGTTATTGTCAGCTGTGCTGTGCGTCCGCTTCTCAATCACATCGAAATGATTTATCCAAGACTGACTTTCCATTGTGTGTGTGTAATAAGAGGATAAACTACTGAACACTAGTGTGTGTGTGTGTGTGTGTGTGTAATAAGAGGATAAACTACTGAACACTAGTGTGTGTGTGTGTAATAAGAGGATAAACTACTGAACACTAGTGTGTGTGTGTGTGTGTGTGTGTGTGTGTGTGTGTAATAAGAAGATAAACTACTGAACACTAGTGTGTGTGTGTGTGTGTGTGTGTGTGTGTGTGTGTGTGTGTAATAAGAGGATAAACTACTGAACACTAGTGTGTGTGTGTGTGTGTGTGTGTAATGTCAGTCAGGAATGGCCACACCACATCTGCTTTGGGTCAGGTGAACTCATCAGGACATTAGTTCAGTTCAGTTCAGTTCTGTGTCGTGTCGTGTCGATCTGCCTGATGTTCAGTTCTAAACTCTTCACAGTGGTTGAACCGTGGCCGGTCTCCATGATCCCGCTCTGCTGCTGTGTTTGAGAGCTGTATTAAGCCGCCGGCTCTGAGAAATCCTCCAGTTCGCTCTGTCGTCTGTCAGCGACTCTGGGCTGTGAGCGGTTCTGGACTCTGGGAAGCAGGAGAGCTCCAGCGCTGACTCCAGACCTGCAGATGTGGATATCTGCTGTCATGAGACGGAGATGCAGATCTGCTGCCAAACACTGAGCTGAAGTAGGTCAGGCATTAGGTAACACACACACACACACACACACACACACACACACACACACACACACACACACACACACACACAGCTGTCCTTAATCACACACTTTATTCATTAGTGAAGTCAGACATGGTGGAACAGTGAAACACACGACTGAGCCGAGACGTAACCGAGCCAAGCATGAGGATATATCTGAGCGATGACTGCTGTAAATGTAGATTATGCATGTCGTGTGTGTGTGTGTGTGTGTGTGTGTGTGTGTGTGTTGTGTTAATAAACATGCAGAGTAAGAACAGAACAGCCCCTGCAGTGTTCCTGACGCTGCGAGATGAAGGAACGCCATTCTGCTGATTTCCTCTGGAATTTCTTCCCTTGCCAGTGGAATGCAAACACACACACACACACACACACACACACACACACACACACACACACACACACACACACACACACACACACACACACACAAACAGAATATAGAGGTAAGTGCTTGTTTATCATGTTTTACTGCAGTATTACGAAGCTTTTGGTGTTATGTGACTGATGTGTGTGTGTGTGTTGATCTTGGTGTGTGTATTGTTGTTGTTCTCAGAAAGAGAGTGTGTGTGTGTGTGTGTGTCCACTCCTCAGTCGTCCTCCACGAGCCGCTGCAGTCGGTCCTCTGTGTATCGAGCGCTGGGGTTTCCTGTTTTCAGAGACTCA